AAAAAAAAAAAAAAAGAGCTCAGCTGCCACCTGACAGGTGTGCTGTTGGAACTCCCCAGAGGCACTGAGCAGGAGACAAGACTTGGCTGATCAGGTTCCTAAGAGTCAGATCCCAGTGGACGGTGCACAACAACACAGCCTTGGGGAAAGTGTGTTGGGTCAAACAATGGCCAATCTGAAGGCTAAAAGAAGGAAGGGATGCGCTGTCATCTCAAGCTTCTGATTTGGGTAGGCTGTGATTCTACGATGGTCTACTTATTCGGAGGTACTTCTTTTTAAGCCACACTAAGTACTTTATCAGCTGGTGTACATTCAGTAACAGGTGAGTCCACTGTAGATCACAACAAACACACGCTGAAAGGAGAGGAAACGGTCAGAAAGTGCCACTGGCCCGTCACTAGTGGTTTTCTTACCTATGCCCTTAGCAGCAGAGAAAACGCTCCAGACAAGTTCTATGCTCAGAGTACGACACTGATTTCTCCATTACTTAAATAAATAAAGGCAGAGATGCTTGTCTAATACACCATTCTTCTTTTTTGTTTTTGTTTCCCTCAGAAGACCATATTCAAGGTCCATATTCTTTTCAATCAAAACGTTAGCTATTAGATATAAACATCAGCTTCCCTAAGAACTTCTAGTCCTTTTACATTAACTCATCTTCCTGACCTCCAAAGACCTTTATTTCTTCTTCCATAATTGTTTGGTTATATCTACCCACTACTGCTCTCTCTTAGAAGAGAACCTATCCAATTACTTTCCCTGTAACCTGCGCTTTTAACCTTTCAATGATGAAGCCTATGAGTTTCTGACCCATCTGATTGCTTGATGACCAAAATGCTGAGGTAGCACTATTGTAGAAAATGTGAACTGCTAAGTCTTAGCAGAGTAATTAACCTGAAGAAAAAGGTTAGTTTCTGAAGACAATCTTTATGATGTAGTAGAGCAGCAATTTAAAACATACACTAGCTTTTGGTAGAGATACTTTCTAATTCATTTGGTACTTGGAAATCAGAATGGAAATTCTTATTTAAACAACGGCACCAAACCACCTTCAGGTGCTAAGCTCTGTAAAGGGCACTTCGAAATAAAAATCAGGGTGAGGGGCTGGGCTACTGGAGAGCGGTCACCAAAAGTCCTTAGTGAACGGAGTATCAATCAAGTGATTATCATTAGTCCTATATTTTTTAATATACAGCAGTCCTATCCCACGATGTACCTTTCATTCCAACATTTATCAATGTCTTAGCATTTGAGATATAAGGAAAGATAAAGATAATACAATCCTTGTCCTCTAAGGATTCTAAACTTTATCCTGTACCAAAAAGAAAAACAAAACCCTATACAATCTCAGCAGCTGGCCTTTTGGATAACAGTCAAGTATTTAATTCCTGTCACCAGGGCTTCTAGGTATAAAGAATACAACCTCAAAATCTGCTTCTGGGCATGTTACTTTGAAAAAGTTCCCAAGAGGATCATAAAGCAATGTTACATAGGAAGTCTCAATGGACTTGTAAACAATCTGTTCTTCTGAAGAATCACTTCCACGATTTTCTTTAACAATGAAGAAGCCATGCAAAGGTTCCTAGAGCAGAGGGGCCACACATTCTGCCTTGTGGGCCCTCTGACATGAAAACCAAGGGCACTTAGCCGGAAAAACCCGTCTTCTAATATTTTCGTGGATTCAGGATTACCTGAAGACTATCCCTGGATCTCTGTCCTAGAAAAATTCTCTAGGACGCCGGAACACCCCATCAACGAGGGCAGACAGTGGCTCAGAGCACGGACTAGGGAGTCAGACCATGCGACTTTGAACAAGGCACCCAGCCCTGTGTCCTTGGCTGTAAAATGGAGACCAGAGCCCGAGTTCATGCAGTTATTATGAGGAGAGTTAATATTAGCAAATATTTAGTAAGGGTGTCTTGTCCATAGTACTTAAACAAGTGCTGGCTAAATCTAGAAAAGTTCCCACTTCCTTTCCCACCTCACATTTTATCTTCTTACTCACATAGCATGCTCCCCACATGTTTCATAACTAAGGAAAACCACATTAGACTTAGATGGGATCTCACACATGTGCAAATGTAGTGCTATTACTATGCTAAAAAGATATAGGAATGAAAAGGTTTATTGGCAAACTGTTATCTTAATGATTCCTCTCCTGCCGGTGCCCTTGGTAAAATATCTTTCTTTGAACAACTTCAACTGCATTAAGTCACTCTTTAGGAAAGACTTTATCCTTCAAACAAGGTTTACAGTGATTCTTTGACCCCTCTTAAAGCCTTATAGCCAACAAAGAACAACCCCCACCACCACACACACACAAGCTACAACTCCATTGGTCTGTAATAATCCTACTTCTTTCTGGGTTCCAAATTCTAATTCAGATGCTCTAATTTCATGTCGCTGACCAACAAGCATGGCTCACTCAGCAGTCAAGAAGCCTTGTCGTGTATTGGTAAATGGGTGGCAGCACCACTCAACATCAGCGGTCGCCTCCTGTTCCAACATGTCCAGGTGAATCATATACAGCTACAGCTCAAAGCCAGGTTCCACCTCAGTTGGCACCACATTGTGAGGATGCAGGTTCCTACAGACAGGATGCAGGAATGCTATGTCTTCATCTTGGTTTGTGAAGGTGATGATCCTGTGAGTTTGGGAAGAGGTACTTACTGCATGATGTCAAAGACCCGTTTGCCCATGTGGGAGGAGCAGCCATACACTAGGAGGTAGAGCCTGGTTTCTGACATGGTACCCCAGGTCAGGGATATTGTGCTTCATGATGCTGACATTGCAAACGGTGCATGTATGCAGTGAGCCCAGAGCAGGAGGCCTGTGAGAGCACCTTCCCTCCCACACACACTCCCATGCTTGTGAACAACCAGCAGACCAATGGCTTGCAGGCTTGCACCAGCCCGCTCACCTCCAGCCAGCCTTGGTTCAAGCATTGTGTGCCTGGGAATGCAGGGATCTCAGGAGGTAAGGTGGTGGTCATGATCTGG